CTTCTAGATCTCGCGCTTCAGAGCCCTCGACGCTGCGCGTCTCGGGTTCTAATTTGCGCTCGGTCTAGAATGCTTGGCTTTGCAACCTTGGCTAATAATATACTATTTTTATAAATAAATCAAATACCTCATCGCACTTCCTCATAAGACGTCGCTTAGGGATCCTGTAGGAGTAAGTTTTAAGAGCTGATTTACAAAATACAACGCTTACCTCACACAAGTTACACCTTGTTGCATGGTTATTGGATATTTTAGTTTATTTCAAACCCAGTCCGCCTATGCCATTTTGGCATGGAGGCTTAACTTACAAAAGATCTTTCTAGATAACCTAAACCAATATTTCTTAAAATATATGTGTCAATATTCCAATTAACTCAAGCAACGCTATATATGTATCAGTGTTCAAAAACGCTGAAATTCATAATTACGTGATAATTCACACTTAAATTTGAAAACATTAGTAGCAAATATTCAAAAATATAATATTTGGAAATTTAATTTTGTTTTATGAAAACGAAGAAGCTACCTAGTATCAAAAAGCACTCTTGTGCGTAAATTTTATTATTCTTCTTTGCACATATTAACCATATATAAGTTTAACTATGGAGACTTCAATTGAAAAAAAGTTTCATATCTAGCAATTATTTTATTTTGTATTTTTTATTTCTTCTTTCTTTAAAAGTTCTACTGCAGCACACTTAGAGAAATGTTTACCTCAGACGATTTATTCCTTTTTGGTTTGCCGGTATAATATAATGCATTTTGTTCTAACAATTCTTGCAAATTGAAATTCAGATGGTGACGCAATACGTGTAGAAAGAAAGCTAACAGAATTTGAACCATAATTGTTTATCGAGGTTCTGCTTACATAAGATTTGCTTAACAAAATTTACAGATGCCGTCATCAATTTTTTGAAAAGGGATGAATAAATAAATTTTAATCAATGTGGTCCTGTAATTCTCAAGCAAATGTTAGTGTCTTGCCAAAATTTCAAAGAAATCCGCTATTAAAAAATAATTGAGATTAAAATTATTGTATTTTTTCCACGAACAACCATATGCGCAAAGTTAAAAAATAGTGCATAGTGAACAAAGCAACATATGCTGCAAATTCCAAGTGAGATTTAATTCACAACATTTTTAGATGACTACGTCTCATGGTTGTGAGGTTTCTGTATGTACCTCCGCTTATGTAGCAAAAAAATATATTTTTTATAAATAAATTCAATACCTCATCGGACTTTGTCATAAGACGTCGCTTAGGGATCCTGTAGGAGTATGTCATAAGAGCTGATTTACAAAGTACGACGCTTACCTCATACAAGAAACACCTTGTTGCATTGTTATCTGATATTTTGGTTTATTCGAAACTCAGTCCGCCTATGCCATTTTGGCATGGAGGCTTAACCTACAAAAGATCTTTCTATAAAACCTAAAACTATATTTTTTAAAATAGATATGTTTATATTCCAATTAACTGTAGCATCGTTACATATGTATCAGTGTTTAAAAACGCTGAAATTTATAATTACGTGATAAGTCAAAGTTAAATTTAAAAAAATTAGTAGACTTGAATTGAACAAAAGTTTCATGTCTAGCAATTACTTACTTTACTTTAAATTTTTTATTTCTTTTTTCATTAAAATTTCTAGTGCAGCACACTTAGAGAAATGTTTACTTCAGACAATTTATCGTCTTTCAGTTCGTCGGTACTGTATAAAGCATGTTATTTTGATAATTTTTGAAAACTGAAATTCAGTTCTGTTATTGACGCACTACGTGTAGAAAGGAAGCTAACATAATTTGAACTATAATTGTTAATAGAGGTTCTGTTTAAATAAGATTTGCTTAACAAAATTTACAGAGGCCGTTGGCAATTTTTTTGAAAAGGGATGAATAAATAAATTTTTCCGGTGATCGTTTATTAATCAGGAGATTAATGTATGGTTTATGTACGAAAATGATTTATTAATAAGGGATATTAATGCATGATTTTAGGCAACCAGATATACACCTACATACCTAAAATATCGTATTTCTGAATGTCAAAAATTTTCTGAATCAAGATTCAAAATGAAAATTGCATAGAAATGGATTTTTTAACGCCTCCGGAAGTAGAAAATACAAATTGGCTTCACTAAATTTACTTCCAGAAAGAAGCAAAGTGCTTTACCAAAAAATCTATGGTGAGTCTCTTGCATGGTGCACCGGAAAGTACGTTGTAAGGTATCCGGAATCCACATTACTCGCATCGTTCTCCGAAATTTCCGAAAAAGGCTTAATAGCACGCATGTGGCCAAAGTATGCTATGCATCGGTCCACTTTAAGCATTCATCATGATTTGGAGATATCTAAATCTAATAAATTAATGTTTATTCATAAAAATTTTCAGTTGTATGTTTGGTTGCATAACTCATATTTTGAATTTTCAGTAATTTGATAAAATTTCGATCATCGAAAAAGCATTGTCACCAACACGTTTGTCGCGTTAAAATATCGCGATTATTAATAAACTTGTTGGTTAAATAGCTATTAATCAATGTCCTGTAATTCTCAAGCCAATGTTAATGTCTTGCCAAAATTTCAAAGAAATCCGTTATTAATTATTTTCTTAGATAAATTGTAAAATTTAATGATAAGAATTATTGTATTTTTTTACGAACAACCCATATGTGCAAAGTTACAAAAATAGTGCATTATAAAACCATAGGCAAAGCAGCATATCATGTTGCTAATTCCAAGTGGGATTTACTTAACAACATTTTTAAATGACTACGTCTTATGGTTGTGAGATTACCTTATGTACCTTCGCTTATGTAGCAGGAAAATATATATTTTTTAAATAAATTAAACACCTCAACACAGTTCGTCATAAGGCGTCGCTTAGGGATCCCTTAGAAGTGTCTTAAGAGCTGATTTACAAAGTACGACGCTTACCTCACAAGGCACACCTTATGTGGCACTATTATCCACAAACCGGGGTGATTGTAAGTCAACAATTATCACCCAGTAAGTAGGATTTTACCGGGCTTCTTTTGTTAATGAACAAGCTGTCCCCTTCTTTTTACCAGTAAGCGTTGAATCTAGGGGTGTCCTTGTCTTTCAGTATAGGACAAACGAATTGAAGCAAGAAAACCGTAGTGCACTTTCAGCAGGTTTGTATGATATAGTGATTTACTCAATGCTTAAACAGTGACGATAAAAATGTCGAAACACTGCATTTACATGTACAAGAGAAGCTGAAATAGCATTTGTTTTAAAGGTAACCTATTTCTTTATTCTTTACAATTAGTCAAACAAAACGAATCGCTTGCTCCATTGTAGCAGTGATTTTTGAGAATTATCACCTTTCAAGCGACCGACGGTTGAGAAACCCTGGAGTCTGTCAATGTTTGGGGCAGTTTATGGCTTAAGCGAACGGAGTTCTGAAATAGACTAGATCAGTGTTTTGCGGGTTCGGTTTTTTTGAGCAATGTTGCAAAATTTTATTAGTTTACATTTAAAGTGATTTTACAATAATATATGTTTGCTATGGTCGAAGGATAGCTCCGAGAAATACATAGTACCGTCATCCATTGTTGTACGAGTGGAGCAAATGCAGTTGGTAACGCAAAAAAATTCCTTAGTTTGGGACCAATTTTTGTCAGCAGAGGGTTGACAGCGCGTAAATCGTTATGGTCACGTGGTCTTTGCGTGCACGTTATTCTTATTTAAAGTCAATTAATATAACTAATAATTAATTAAATAAGATTTCATTGATTGTATTTAATTAATATTTATATAATCAACACATTTTTTGAATTTTATTCAAATTAACAATCCAAATTTTGTATGTAAACTACAAACTCTTTAAATCTAACATAAAATCATTTTAAATTACGCGGTCTGTCAAATGGTGTCAATAATTTTTGTTTTTGCTAAGTTTCCGCCAGGTTTGCTCCACGGTGACGATACCAGAGAATATAGAGAAGTGCCATAGTTTAAATCAAATGACGGTTGAGGACTTCTCAATTTATGTTGGTAGCAGTGTTTGCTTCTAACTAGGAACAAAAGTAGCTTGGAGAAATGTCATAATATTTTTAACGACGCGTTTTATTTTCGACAAATTGACACTAGATTTACCAGAATATTATAAGCTGCTTACTGTTTCCTTCACTTTCATTCATGTCACACGAATTACAATTATAGTGAAGCAAGGTTTTTATTGGCATCGACTATTTAAATTTGACGCTTGCCTTTGGCGGTTGAGGACTTCAATGTCAATAAGGGTGGTTTTACAAAATCAGCCTCTATGTTGCCTCTCTATGTTCTCTGACGATACTATGTGTATTCTAGGGGCTATAGGTCGAAGGAATGTTGTCTTGAACTGAAGATATCTTAAATCAGTTTATGGATTAAACCTTTTCCTGAATTTATTCTTCAAGAAGGCACGACATCATTTTTGGAAAAATGGCGTTAGGTATTAAGAGCGTAAATTTCTTTCTATAACGTCTTTTAGTGTGTTTAATTTTTTGTTTAATTGTTCTGAAGAAGGTTTAAAATAAAAAAACCAAAACGTCGTCCAATAAAAAGTAAGTGTAGAAAAAAAAATTAACCTGTCAACTACTCGTAAATCCTCTATAAATGTTATTTATGTAGTTATTTTTTCTAATACAATTTAGGCTCAATAAACCTGTCTTTGTAATTTGTAAATAAATTGAGTTCTGCTTATTGTTTTCTTTTTATTTTGGAGCATATGCATCTTCATATCTCTGCATATGTTAATGCATTTATTGTATATTTGCATAAATTTGATGCAACGTGCACTAATGCTTATCCATCACTAACAATTCAAGCTGATTTGGTACAGAGGTCATAATGAAGATCAATACATTTAAAATATAGTAAATTTTATTCATCTTCGAAACTGACAGAAAAACAAAAATCATTTCACGTCTGTTTAGCTGAAAAAGATGATTAATAAGTTTCTTCAGTTCATGCGACTTATACCTACTTGCCTACAAACCATATGACTGGTTTAGTCGTTTGCTTTACGACGGCGCTTTTCGCCTTGTATCCACATGTACATACCAGATACAGCACGGTCTTTAAATATGTCACGATATTTCATTTTAACTTTTTCAATCATCCTCATTGGGGGATATGGTTTATCTGGATCGATGTAATTCGCAAATTCTTTCAACATAATTTCCTTCTCATTTTTAGTCCAGGTCTTTTTAATTCTAACATGTCGTTGTCTAGTTGGAGTTACCACCATTTGCTTATTACTTGCTTTACAGGCTGACATTCTCTTTTTTGGCGTTGTGCCTCCACTATTTACTACCGAATAGTCGTACTTTTTTTTTGAAGACCCTTTTCTTTGTGGGGTTACAACTAATTGGTTGTCTTTTGCTTTGAATGGTAGATTCTTCTTGGGAGTTAATATTGCTGTCCTTACTACTAAGAATATGGGTGATAAAAAGATTAAACGTTGTCGTTAACTTATAATACCTTTATTGCACATGACCTCTTCAATGCCATCGGTGTACTCAGGGTTTTCTGTACCTATAACAAGTAGATTAACAATTTTTTGAAGTTGTTTCGTCATCAGGGAGGCGAAAATGTAATGGAGAGAGTACTAGCCCAAAAACATGGTTTCGCACCGAAACCTTCATGTGCAATAGAAGGTAGCTGAATATCGTTACCGTTTTCTCAGGCGTGTGTAAAATTTTGGTGTCGTAAATACTTCTGTTCGAATCTACCGGAAGTACCTACTGGCAACGAAAAATTGACACCATTAAACCTACAGAAGTCAGTAAAATTAATTTGCCATAATAGGTTTCTTATTGCTTATGTTAATGTGTCAAAAATATCAAAGTGTTGGTGACGACAGCGCGTGCGTAGTGCCAGAAATTTTGGCCTATGTGACTCACACGCATTTTGTAAGGCAAAAGTAAATTCGCGCATGTAATCCGGAAAACGTCATTCTGTAAAATCTATTTGTTATAGTTATAAGAATTCCATAGTCTTGTAAAACCGTAACAAATAATACTTGTCAAACGTTACTATTTTTATCTCACTTTCTCTCATTGCGGTTGAGATGATACGTATTGCCAACATTTTAGGGGCGGTCCTAAAAATCTACCGGAAGGTGCGTACAAAGCAGAAGCTGTCAAACAAGAGGTACTGTTTTGTTGAACTTGAAAGGAGATGTTTAATGAAACAGATGAAATGTAAATGATAATTAAGTTAGTGTTATGTTTAATTTTCAGAGTAGCTTACTAATGGGAAAACCCATTAAGATTGTGCAACTGTACGGTGGAAACTGTTTATTCGATTTTGCATTTTGCCTGCAATAAAATATAACTGTTTGAGAACCTGTTTCAAATTTCGGGTTTTACTCCGACAGACGGAGCTATGTGTTTTCTCTCTCGCACATCTGCTTAAGTTAAAATGAAATAGCGTTTTGTTATTCTTGTTCCTCACAGCATAACCCAAAGTACCGGTGGTGGAAAAAAGAGAGAATAAGTTTTACGATATCCTGGAAAAATTATGACAGGTCTCCTCTGTGGCTAGGCCTACAGTAATAAGTGACGCTATTTTTACATATGCCATTCGCTGTGGATGGGTGTTTCAAATTTTGATAATTTCGTCAAGAAAAAAAATACCACACCAACTTCACAGAAGCCGACAGGGAGTGGGACCTTCCGTTTCTCTCTGATAGCAAAGACTCCAAAATATTCTCTTTCCCTCCGCAATTAACTTTTGTTCTTTTTCTGGTTACTGTTTAAGAGAACTTAGCTCAGTCGGAATTTATTGACAATAAAATCCTTTAAATATTGGTAGTCTTTGTCTTAATGTGACGTTTCATCAATTCAAAATTCGATAATTTATTCTTCACAAACTTTACTATTCCGACATCTTGGTCTAATTCAGGCCTTTAATATTGTTAATCGACCTACATTGTCAATTTATATAAAACAGAGTAACACGTTTATATCACCAATTTAAAAATGACAAATATCATCTGAAGCGAAAAATTGACATAGTTAATAAATCACTTATTAGTTCTAACACCGTGTGTTCTAAGCGTATCACTGTTCTGCTGTGGAAAAGTTTTCGATGTCTGTTATTTTAAAAAGTTAATGTTAACAGTGGCAACGAAATTGAAGCAAAGCAAATCTGTTGAAATGTGTGCAAAATAATCAAATGTCACTGTCACAGAACCCAGGCTAGCACTTTTTAGATGTCTAATACTGGAAAGACATTATGATTTCATTTTTCAATCGTTATTTAATTTTGATTTGATAATTATTTACTAATAGGACTGGATAACATAGTGTTCCTTAGTCAATAACCAACACCTACTTAACTTTAATTAAGACCCGTCAAGACATAAACTTAGAATAAGCATATTGTTTTTGCCATTTCTATTGAAACACCGTCTGCTGATTTTGTTTAAAATTTAGCAATTGGTGACAGCTTTCGGTTGATTGACGACGGCTTTTAGTTAGAAAATTGTCTGAATATGAACGTTGCCAAATTTACGATTAACAAGTGGTGTTTCAATAGAAATGACAAAGATTTATGGTTATTTATACCTACCATTCACTGCAACGACGCCGGTGCTGCTTTGTTGAGTGTTCTCACTGGATGGAGAAACTATAATAGAATAATATGGTTTGGAATTATTACATGGGTAACAGTAATTTATTTACACGTACTAGTTAAATCTTCTTCTAAACCACTATGGACCTCAGTACCAATTTTATCAAATGGCATTTCATCTAAGTCAATGTCGTCTACATCCGGAATTACTTGTACATGATCCATTTCGGGAATTTCCACAGGAATTTCATCTATTTTCATCCCTTTGTATAGGTTCACATCTTCTCCGGTAGCAGCCGACAAGAATCGCGACATCTTGGTGACGTAAATATTAATTTCTGGCATCCGGTAGTTTGCTTGATGTACAGCATCTGTATGTCCCATAAATTTTGCCAGATTTGAAAGATCATTATGATCCATAGATAACATTTGAGATGTTGTGGCAACTTGCTTCCTCAAATAGGTGGCAGTTAATCTTTCAGGATGATCTGCTCCACATCGGTTTGCAAATTTTTTTAAGCAAAAAGATGCGTCCAAATGTTTTCTTTTGGAAGAAACAGATGGAAACAAAAATATATTGTCGTCTGAAATTCTAGCTTCCTTTCTATACCGACTGTATAATATCAATTGTCTGAAATATAAAAATAAGGCGAATGTATGGAAATATTCAACTGAATTCATTACTTCTCTTGAACACTATCAATTAGCACTTGCAGACGCCGACTCCTTTTTCCAGCCGCTTTCATTATACTATATCTATCGCAAAGGTAAACTTCCACGGGATTCATATTTTTTTTATCTTCGTCTGTAACTTTTCTTCTTTCGTTAAATAACTGAAGTAGAAATTCCGACGTTTCCCATACCCTTCGCCTATTAAATACTAAAATTTGTATCATTAAAACTTCTCCTAATCCTCTCCATGCAGTGTAAATAAATCCTTGTTCCATAAGTTCGTTGTAATGACATTCAGAAACCTCTTTCAAATAATTCACAAACTTTCTTATGTCATCAATCGTAGGTAATTCAACATTTTTCATTATGGAGTTTTTGCAAGCATTTGCATATGCTGTTTTGCTAATGTACGTATTGAAAAATTCCGTATGTATAAATTTAAAATTCTTCAAATTAATTATTTTTTCATGCGTTGGTGGTAACTCAGCATCGCAGTGTAATTTTCTTAGAGTCCGAATGGCTTTATTTATTAAATGATTGTATTGTACAGCAGACGACGGTTTAAGAAATTTAAAAGATTCATCCAGACCACAAATATTATAAATAGCTTGCATCAGCGTTCTATATTTTGTAGGTTCTAAACAATCCATAAATTCGGTTACTGTCGGATTCAAGAACTGCATTTCTGTAAAAAGCTGAGCAAGCTGCCGTATGTTGGACCTCGAATTAGCCGTTCTTTGTGGGTTACCTTTATGTGCCAATGCAAAATGTCTTGCCATTAATAAAAGAAGTGTGTCTTCACGTATGGTTTTCCCTATTTGATCGTGTTTTAGTGGTATTAGAAATTCTTCTAGAAGTTTATCTTCAACATACCCTGAAGATATATCCACGCGTTTCTTTGTTAAAGCTTCAAACAGAACTCTCTGCCGATTAGGTTTTCTCCCTGTACAGGCTCTATTATGTCGGCTATAGTTTTTTCTCCCAACAAGTGCCCCACAGGAAGGGCACTGCACAAAATCGATTACGTGTGAGACTTTTGGTTTTCTCACCGGAATTCTTTTTGATAATTGAACCATATCATTGTATAACTGATCTCCTTGTAGTCTAAGATCTCTTAGTAATGCTTTGCGTTCTTTGCTTTTTGGTGGCAAAATACATATCTTTTGCATTTCTTTGCGGTCACCGTGAACGTTGATTAAATGCCTCCCTATAGAAGTTACTAATATTTTGCAAAATACACAATGATGACTTCTACTTTTAATTTTAGGTGGAATATCTTTAGACTCAATAAAGCTTTTTATTCCCTCATTTGTAAGGCTATTTGGTAGAGACGTGAAACACATTTCTGTTAGGAAAATATCATTTAAGATGGGGAGTTTCACTTCTCGTCCATAGAGGGTTTGTATGGGCAGACATTTTGACACGTTTAAGGTGAAACTAGATGTTCCTGAACGAGATACAGAACACATCGGTTGATTTAATTCTTCCACTTGAAAATCTATGCATAGATAGGCATAGTTAGCAGAAAATTAGGTTGACAAAAAGTATAGTACTTACCACACACATGATCTCTCGAAACAGAGCTCTTTTTTACATAACCCATAAGGAAACGTGTCAACCTTGAACCAACAAAAAGAACGCCACTGTAAACTCCTCTGTGCAGAGGTTTTAAAATTTTCAATTCAACGTCACTATTAGTGAAAAAAGAGATAACTGAAAAAAAAATTGATGTTTCGATTGCTTCTTGGGAAGGAGAAGAAATTGTTTGTTCTTCAAACTGTGAGTTCGATGATTCTTGAATTAAGTCTGACGTAGAAGAAGTAGAAGGTATTTGTTTTTGTGCGATTAATGGTTGCGATGTTATTATTGATTCTTCCCCTGCTTCTTCACCTTCTTCTTCACCTTCTTCTTCACGCACAAATAATTTTCTTCTCACCTTCCTCACGTTAATATCATTTTCTTCAGTTTTTTCTGTGATTTCTTTTGAAATATTGGAAATTAGATTTTGTTTTGTACCAGCATCTATTTTAGGCGGTACAGTTTTCGATACATCGATACTTCGTCCTGGTAGATCGCATCGAGTTAAAAGAATCTTCAATTTTTTCATTGTATCGTTTAATGAAATCTAAAAAAACAGACATTTTAAGTCACTAGCATAAAAACACCCATAACAAACTCCTAAGTTATTTTATAGTCTTTGAGTTTACTATTTATATCTGAATTATATGTCTGTTTAAGTTTAGTCTAAATTTTTATTTGTTTAAAAATGTATTGCAATTTTGCGTAAATAAATCAAATCTAATCTAATTTATAAAAAGGTTTTACATAACCTAAGCGATTTAATATAAAAAATATAAATATATATTTTGAAATTTTTTACGGAAGTATGAAAACATTTCGTACGAAATTTTTTAATGAGATTCAATAAATAATTTTATTTAGTACTTTAAGAAAAATATTAAACGCAACTATTTAAGCACATATTAAAAAAATACAATTTTCAAATTTGAGGCCCCATAATATGAGAATGTGAGCGGCAGGAATTTTTTCAATATATTTTTTTATTTAAGTACAAATTATTTCAACCAAGGTATCAGCGACTTGGTCCGCCATTTTGTCAGCACCATGTTATATACAGAATATTCAAAAATGGTCGCCCTAATTGATCACTACGTGAATCAGTACATAAAAACTAAGCACTATCATAAGTTCTCTTAGTTCACTATGGCTCCGTTTCAAAGATATAGTCCCTTAAATGGGGCAGTTTAATGCCATTTTTCTCGGTTCCTATTACACCTTGAAAATAGAAATTAGGAAGCAATTTATTCTCTAAGAAGTACGTTTCATTTACGTGTGAAAATCTTCTAAACTGTTAAGAAGAAGCAACTTTAGCACATCTAAAAGAAATGCAAAAAATGTAAAAAACGATTTTGCAACATCAAGGTGCAACAAAGAGATCTTCTATGGTTGCCGAACAATGAACAGAAAAATAATGATAATCAAAAATATATAAATAAAGTGATAAGGACATATGACAAATGTGAATGGTTGTTATACACTTGTTTCGACTTGTAGTTTCATGATTTGATCAGTTAGCGGGAACTTTTTGAACACCCTGTATATATATATATATGTATATTTCTTATATATCTTTTGAATTGAATTGAATTGTAAGATATTATACAAAACTGTTTTAGGTATGGAGTTATTTTAGCATAAACTTTGCAGCTTTAAAACTTCAACAAAATCCGACTTCTTCGCGCGGAAACATTTTCAACAATCATCCAAATTTTTACAGTGCGTTAAACCTTTCGTAAGCAGACTATTCTTTTATGAATTTAAACACAAGCATATTCTTATTTTCCAAAAAGCTCCTACTAAACACGGCTGCTATATAGTATAGTACATAGCAGGATCAGCTCTTGCCTATATCTTAGGAATCGACATTACATATGCTACTATTTTTACAAGTGTCGTCCAATGTTTCCTTTAAAAGCAGAATGTGTTATATTAACTTACTTACCTTTACATAGACAACTAAAACGTGCCCATCACTTCACAAGAACACTGTAAGACTCTTTAACTGACTATACAATAGCAGTCAGACGCTTTCTGTCTCCAGAATTGCGGAGTGGTGGACCCGACAAGAACCGGTTCATCGTTGTTTTTTCTTTTTCTTTTCTGGTTGCCATCAGAAATATCCCATTTGCTGAGAAAATCTCAACAACAAACAGCACATCATTTACGTAGAAAAAAAATATTGAAACGTGAATTGTATTCTTAGGCTATTTTTACTTACAAAAAGTAATAATATAGTAAGAATGAAAATAAAAGAAATTAATAGATATTAGGTTACATGAAAAATCAAACAATTTATTTTTTAATGTGATGTTATTATTTACAGTTTTTAAATAAAATAAAGTAGGTTAGTTTAAATATCTTCACAGTGGATCTTCTTTAACTATTGGATGTATCTGGACATATTGACATATTGACATTCGTTTTGACGAATGTCCAATTTTATGATTACTTTGAGTTTTAAAACACGTATAAACCGAAGATAAAGGTCTCCTGTTCCCGTCTGGTCTGTCTGTTGTCTGTCCGCTCAGAGCAATCGCTCTGGTAGTTTCGAAGATTGTCTGACACATACCAGCGGACGACAGACAGACAGACACACAGACGGATGGATGGAAACGGAAAGCATCTTTATTTCTTTCGTATTCTACGCACTGTGAAACGCAAGGAAAACACGAAATCAGCCAGCTATTCGTGAAATCGACGTTATTACCCATGTCTTAGCTTACAATAAGGGAGTCAAAATAAAGATGATGTATCTATCTTATCAATTTGTATAGAACCACTATGCGTAGAGTCGAAAAGAACGATCGATTATTAAACCACACGCAAAAGAGAATTTCGTGGTGCACATTTCAAAAGAAATTTACAAAATATCTAAGAAATCGATTACAAATTTTCTACGATTAATTGTTGACCTTGAATCTTCTAACTTTAATTTTTTTAAAACAACCGCAATTCGTAAAGTCGAAAAGAGCGACGGATTTTAAACTACACGCAAATGAGGATTTCGTGGTGCACATTTCAAGTGAGAATTATTTGAGAAAACGTTGAATTGACTTGATCTGTTTTTGGGAGGGGATGAGTTGATAAATCTTGGTTAAATTCTTATAATCCTTGCATTCATGCTTGAGTCCTTACAACATTTCTAAGAAATGGCTTACAAATTTTCCTCGATTATTAATTGACCTTGAATCGTCTAACTTTAATTTTTTTAAAACAACCGCAATACGTAAACTCAAAAAGACTTTATTCTTAAACTACACGCAAATTAGGATTTCGTGGTGCACATTTCAAGTGAGAATTATTTGAGAAAACGTTGAATTAACATGACCTGTGTTTGGGAGGGGATGAGTTGATAAATCTTGGTTAAATTCTTATCATCCTTACATTCATGCTGGAGTCCTTACAAAATTTCTAAGAAATCGCTTACAAATTTTCCACGATTAATTGTTGACCTTGAAACTTCAAACTTTAATTTTTTTAAACAATCGCAATGCGTAAACTCGAAAAGAGCGACGGATTCATTAACTACAAGCAAATGAGGATTTCGTGCTGCACATTTCAAGTGAGAATTATTTGAGAAAACGTTGAATTGACATGATCTGTTTTTGGGAGGAGATGAGTTGATAAATCTTGGTTAATAATTCTCGCATTAATGATAGAGTCCTTACAAAATTTCTAAGAAATCGCTTACAAATTTTCCACGATTAATTGTTGACCTTGAATCTTCTAACTTTAATTTTTTTAAAACAATCGCAATGCGTAAACTCGAAAAGAGCAACGGATTCATAAACTACAAGCAAATGAGGATTTCGTGCTGCACATACCAAGCGAGAATTATTTGAGAAAACGTTGAATTGACATGATCTGTTTTTGGGAGGGGATGAGTTGATAAATCTTGGTTAAATTCTTATAATCCTTGCATTCATGCTAGAGTCCTTACAAAATTTCTAAGAAATCGCTCACAAATTTTCCACGATTAATTGTTGACCTTGAATCTTCTAACTTTAATTTTTTTAAAACAAACGCAATGCGTAAACTCAAAAAGAGTTTATTCTTAAACTACACGCAAATTAGGATTTCGTGGTGCACATTTCAAGTGAGAATTATTTGAGAAAACGTTGAATTGACATTATCTGTTTTTGGGAGGGGATGAGTTGATAAATCTTGGTTAAATTCTTATAATCCTTGCATTCAAGCTAGAGTCCTTACAAAATTTCTAAGAAATTGTTCACAAATTTTCCACGATTAATTGTTGACCTTGAATCTATTTCTTTAAAACAACTGCAACGCGTAAACTCGAAAAGAGCGATGAATTCTTAAACTACACGCAAATGAGGATTTCTTGGTGCACTATTCAAGTGAGAATTATTTGAGAAAATGTTAAATTGACACGATCTGTTTTTGGGAGGGGATGAGTTGATAAATTTTTGACAAATTCTTATACTCCTTGCATTGAAGCTAGAGTCCTTTCAAAATTTCTAAGAAATCGCTTACAATTTTTCCACGATTAATTGTTGACCTTGAATCGTCTTACTTTAATTTTTTTAAAACAACCGCAATGTGTAAACTCAAAAAGAGTTTATTCTTAAACTACACGCAAATTAGGATTTCGTGGTCCACATTTCAAGTGAGAATTATTTGAGAAAACGTTGAATTGACATGATCTGTTTTTGGGAGGGGATGAGTTGATAAATCTTGGTTATATCCTTATAATCCTTGCATTCATGCTTGAGTCCTTACAAAATTTCTAGGAAATCGCTTA